CACACAGTCAGTCACTGATACTCAGCTTCAACTTCAACATCAAAAAACGCATCTTCCTATTCAAAGCCAGGTCTCTTTACAAGTTCCATGAAGCCTTCAAGAAGTGTTTCTTTGACAGTCTGCTTGGGTCCTGAGGCTTATGATGGCCTGGGTGATCTACAGTATATAGTATATATGTATACATATACTTATATATAATTATATATATATTCTCAAGAGCCAAAACCTTTCGAGATCGGCCGCCCAGTGTATCATATCAAGCAGGACAAATTATGTGGACCTCTTTGGTAGTAGCAACAACATCTTCAGCCAAACCATTGTTGGTTTGCTAGCAGCTCCACAAGGTTCGAGGCGATAAACATCGATAAACACCATCCACCTTCCACTCGTGCCCACCCTGGCACTTCAGTTTGACCAGCCACTTCCACTGGGCATCTTCCACGTGCGCCGGCTTGGGGCCGGAGGCCTGAGAGCAGGCAAACTGCCTGGTGGAAGAGGTGGCTGTGTCTTTCGAGTGAGTGAGGGAAGTCCCCCCAAGACTTGATGTGTAGGAGACAAATCAATAAAGCTCGGTTTTTGGAGCCAGCACTCGGTTGGTCTCAAATATATTGAATATTCTACCCTTGGTCAAGAACTACACAAACATTACCCCTATCAGGGAATGGTTTTCTGTCATGGCTTTTGGACATCAAGTGTGACTAGCCCTACACAACTATGCCCAAGCTCATCTGCTTGTTGTTGGAAGGCAAATTCTAGAAAAGAAGTTGGACCAACATGTTTGGTTGGCTCACTTGTAGCGATAACCAAAACAACCCACGATAAAAGACTCAATCGTTGAGTAAAGTGTCCATGGAATCTTGATCTACAGCATGGACATGCAGGGACTTCGTTAAGCTACACATGAGGCACTTATCAATCTACACAGTGAGCTTGCATGAGCATCCTAGTGAGTCAAATTTGGCTTCATGTACACCATATTTTGGTCAGTGAACGCTCTACTTGGGGCAGTCTCCCAACGATTCAAGAGCCCGTGGCCAAGCGTCGTGCGCCGTGCTGGATGCCCCTCCAGTTCGTGCCACGGGCAGCACGGCGATCCCCGCTGCACGGGCGTGTGCAATCCTTATATCACAGTTTTGATTTGAAGAACACAGCAAAGTGGCTTCTGACCTTTCAACCAGCCGGCCCATGCCTGGAATCAGCACGATTGCAAAGACCAGGTCAAATGGCCTCTGTCAATTTACTGGGAGTCACCTCTTATGTCATGAGGGTCTAGAGTCTCGGCCGCAGGGCTGGGATGACTGGGTCTGGACTGAGTGGCTCCTCCGCTGTGCCCGGGCCGCCTTCTACCGAAATGCCCACCTTGGTCAGGGCATCGTTTCCGGACTAGGAGCAAAGGACGCTACTAGGAGCAAAGGGCATCGCTACTAGTAACAAGGACGCTACTAGGAGCAATTCCAAATCTCGGAATCTCGTCCTTCAAAACAATGTATCATCATGTATCATCGTATCAATTGTTCTACAATATCCCGTTAAACACCGCTAAGCTATGTTAAGCTGATATATATATATATATAGTTGGTTGGATAAGAATCTTGTCACTTCACCAAGACAACCGATCAACTATTTCAGGCGAACATTGACAAGCATTGACCGGTATATGTAATTCTGTATGACAGGTCCTTGCGCACGTAGAAACCTGTCATACGTCTCCGTCCCTGTCCGATGGCCAGCGCCTGCGCGCTCTGTGCGAGAATCTTCCGGCGCTCCAAGTTGTCAGCCCCCGCCTCCAAGACCTGACCAAACGCTGTTCAACCTGCTTTAGCATGCTTCTGGCTTCTTAGCATGCTTTAAGCGGAAAGTGTAAGACCGAAAACAATTTCAAGATAAATCATATTAAACATGTCATATAATATATATATATATATAGATGCGATGGCCAGGTCGCCACTTTGACAACTCTGAATTCTTGAAAAGGCATCTGGACTGACTTGGAGGTTGTGTTCTACATTTAGATGAAATATCGCCCAGGCACTTTGCCGAAGTCAAAGGGGCACTTGTAATTCCTGCGGAGTCGCACCGATGGCCGAAATTGGGTAACCTATCACAGGGATTTCCAAGTAGTCCACAATGGCTCCACTGTGCGTTTACAGGCCAGTTCTTACTTCTAGAATCTTGCTCGCCTTGTGAATCTGTAGGGAATCATGGGCTCGTGTGTCCGCGACTGAAACGGGGACGAAAAGGTGCAGCAACCGTCCAAAGAAACGGTGTGACTTTCGGAAACCTTGCTATAGGCGCCTATAGGTACTGTGAATTATATAAAGGGATATAAAGGGATCCCTTTTGGATCCTTTTGAGGTCTAAATTGAGAGCATTTGATGGCATTTGAGGAACCTTCGACCGCCGACCTGTGTCACTCGCTCGGACCGAACCGGCGCTTCGGCGCTCCTCGGTGCGAGATGAAAGACCTGCGCTTCACCGTCCAAGGCCTTCGACGGACAGGGACAAAAGACTCGAACGCTTCGAGAAGCTATTCGACCGCGCATGAAAAAGACATGATTCCATTTTTTTTGCGACATGTTTGCAGAAGTTGCCTGGACTTGATTGGTTTGGGTTGCTTGGTCTCTCCATGTCTCTCCTACTGCTGACCCTGACACAAACTGCGGCCCGAAGTGCGAGTTCCTCCTTCGCTCCGACCGGATCCCGAAGCGCGAACCTGCCAAAAGCTGCGGGCAATGACCTCGTGGACGATGGCGTTGGCGCCTGTGAGCAGGACCACCTGAGTCGAAGCTCAGGTATAGGAGCTCCAGCTCCCTTCAATCAAATCTTACTTGATAAACAGGTTGGGATGGTCTTGGTTGCGTTTTTCAGGAATTGAGTCATAATTTTGACTTGAAGACTTTGTCAGTCACAATTTCGCCGAAAGTCAAAATCATGTCCAACAAATGTACTGTAGTGATTCGGAAGCCTTCAGGTCAGGGGTATGTCCCAAAAACGTCGCGTTGCCGCTTCGCCCAAACCGGGTCCAAACCGGGTCCTGCCTCCCTCCCGCAGCGTTCGGCCAGCTTTCGCCCAAGCACCTTGCGCTGTTGGTTGGTTGGGTTGGAGACAATGGGGGGCAGTTGATTGGTGCGCTTGGAAAAAACATGGTAGGTCGTGTCTGTGGAAGATCCTTCACTCCGAACACCTTCTGTCTCTTTGTCAACCACTCTGTTGAACTTGAAACGCTCGACGACAAGAGTGAATCACAATCATCGGACATCTAAGGAACGGATCTGTCACCCAGCTAAAAAAATTGATATATTGATCGGCAGTTGACCTTTGGAATGGAGCACCAACAGTTAAAGTTAGGTTAGTTTCAGCAAACAATAAACCTACCGTAAACCGCAGCATGTTGCACTTCCCTTGATTTTCCCTGAACCGGTTACAACAACCCAAGAGACCTGCAACCTGAAAAGAAGAAAAAGCCCCAAAGAAAGGGAGGTCGGACCTCGCAAAAGTCCTTGGAGTCGGCGCCGTAGAAATGGGTGCTGCCAAAAAGAGCGACCCGAAGACCTCCGCAGCGACGGGAGAAATCCGGAGAAACCGTCGGGCTGCGACGGGAGCGAGTCGAAGGACTGAACGTCCAATTGGGAGTTTAACACGTTCACATATGTTGACCCAAAAACCGCACATGTCACAGGTGTTCATGTCATTGGTCTGTTTTCCTGACTTCTCCGGCTTTAGTTCAAGTATGTTCAAGTCTATTCACTGGCTAGGAACATGTTTCCAATTGGACGTTACGAGTAGGTTGTCAAAAAACCTTCTATGTTTCCCTATACCACTTCTCATCGATTCTCATCGTTTATATTCTTCCTTGTCGTTTTACAGTGCTTTGACCAACTGCAACATGTGCAGTATACATGTGTGCTGCATGCATTCGTGCTGTGGAATGGCAGACACGACGCCATGGCCGTTGCGTTGCCTTATTGTTTTGTTCCCGGTACAAACTTCTATTGCTATGCCCAAACAAAGACTCCAAGTTGTCCTTGATTTGCGGGGGAGGCAAACCTGAGATGAAACGCATATGACGTGTTGTCAACCTGCAGGGCTTTCGTTATATTTTCTGCATTATCGTTTATATTTATGGTGCATATATAGATCATCCTTTTGACAAAACGGGCATGTAAAGACAAAGGCGTGATTTCAAATTTGTCGGACAACCATGATCAAAGGCAACATGTGAACTTGATAAGCCAACAATTCGTGTGCTCGCAGTCTTCAGTGTGTTCCCAGAAAAATACGCAATTGGCGCATCTCTTTGTGACCAACTGAATCCATCGCCTTTCTTTGGCAGCATCTCTTCAACGCTGGTTGTCATGGGCGCTGAGACGCAGCCCATCGAGAAGCACAGCCAGGAGCAGCAGCAAAGCACAAGGACTGGACGCATCTAAAGGGGGTGCTGCAACCCTGTCATCAATTCTTCTATGGGTTCTTGCAATCTAGTTGAGAAAAAAGGAAACATGATTGATTATACAATAGTTTCTGCAATATTGATTATGTGGCCTCTATGCCATATCCAGAGTAGCCTGTGTAGTCCACCAATCTTGGCACGACTCAAACCCGGGCAATCATCGGAAAATCACCGGAAATCTTGTCTCAGCAGACTCTCGCGGACTGAGAGCCAAGGGCTGGCTGCAAAGTGGCGCGTTTGAGATCCACAATAGGCAAGAGAATGCAAAAGAGTAGATTTCATCTTGGAAAGACCAATCGCCCTTGGTTGTATCATGCTGTATCCAATGGAAGCTGGTTACAGCAATCGGCTAGGTCCGCTAGGTTCTCGCGCAGCAAAAAGTTGATCAAAAAAGGTAGTCTGAAAACAAGACTGCTCAGTAACCACAAAATCACAAAAACAAAACAATGGGGCACTGTGTTCATTTGTGTTCTGTTTGTCCTGGTGATGCCTGCTTCTTTCGATGCCCGTCCAGGATATCGAAATAGAACAAACATGCGTCCGGGCAGTCCTCTCTTCGCAAGAGGTTTCCCCAATGTGGGTCCTCAGCACGGGTATAACTGGTAAGCCCCATATATATAACGGTCAAGCATACTCAAGGTAACCTAATTGCTCGTTGACTTGTTGTGTTTCGTGCTTCACTTTTGCGCTGGTGTTATAAGTGTTATGGAGCAGGAACAAAAAGACCTCGCTTGCCAGCTTGCTGGCATGTCCACGACCAGAGTCACTTGTGGCTGCCGGTGTTTCAAAAGAGGCAAATCTCATCTCTTATCAGGGGCTCTTTTGAACTGCTAGAACAATTGGTCGGCTTCCCGGCCGCATGAAGTGATCCGAGCTCCAGCAACATGGCCTCGGGAGAAGAGATTCACCAAAAGTTGGTGAGATTCCACCCGTAAGATGTTGATTCCAGGATATTAAAGGCAGCTTGTTCGAGTGCGGTACAGGATTAACTACATCATGCTACATCAACTGCATCGTGGACCCATACCCTTTGTGGGAGAACTGTCACAAAACTGCACGGCCGGCTGCATGTGACGTCTGAATTCGAAGGGCACCTCCCACATGAATTGGTCCTGAGATGTCCTGAGGCACATCATGAACACCACGACACCATACACCGCGCCGCAGAAGTCAGTGCAAGCCCAGAACTCATGCCAGTTCCCTATGAGACGCCGTGCATTCAGGAAGTCAAACAAGTCAACGCATAGCACCATCAGGACCCCGAATCCCACCAAGCAGTCATTCCACATGAAGGCCACTTAGAAGTGTTGGCGCATGTGTACATCCCAAACAATCAAACAATGCAACCATAAGCTCACAGCTGAATCTGTCAGACTTTCTCTTTCCTGTTCCTTTCGTGGAGGCGCAAAAAAGTCCAATGTTAGTCCAAACACAACAGCTAACAGCTAACAAGAACAGTAGGATCATACAGCATAGATTATTTTAAATGGATCATCAATGATCATCATATAGCATATCCACCAAGAGACTTTAGGTAGCTCCACAAGCCTGGGGCCTGGTTTTTGCCCAGGTGCCAGATAGCAGGTCATGGCCACGGCTTGGAGCCGCTGGGCCTCCGACCAACGGACACAAAACATGAAGCCAGCAAGGAAAGCAGGGGAACCGTCAGGGGAAGTTGCGAAAACGGAGACACCACACAGCTGGGAACTCTGGCGCCAGGGAAAAACCATGCAAACTGGCATGGCGGGGCTGCCACACAGTTCTCCACCTTTGCCAGACTCTCACCCACTGCCGCGATTTTCATCCTCCAAATCCCAAAGACCCATCGGATTGCATGGGTCAAGATTATACAATTATTATATAAGATTAATATACAATAATATAAAATTAAATATTATGGGATGACCATTCCCTTACCAAAGGGGGTCCCGATTGAGATCATTGAGGTTGAAGAATAGTTCCTACTGAAACTGAATATCAATCCTGGGTTCCTTTAACCCACTACAACCGTGTTTAGACCATGGCACCTATGAAAGAACACCCAAACTGCAAGGCCTTAAACAACACGACACGACAGCCGTTGTTTGGTCGCAGTCATATCACTCTAAGGAAAGCAATGGGTTGGGTGTTCCTGTTGAGGTGTGCCACCAAGTAGCGGTGCCAAAATGATGCGACCAAGTAGTGGCGACATTTGATCTTTTGGCCTTCTGGGGTCGGTGACCGTAAGCCTTCATCCAAATTGTCTGTACAAGAGATGGGTTGGACATGGTCGGACTTCGGGTTTGTCGAGGTGCACCAAAAACTCGACGGCAACTTGTCGCACGGCAATGGCATACATACATACCTGTGCTTTGGGTCATCTGGTCTATGTGTCTACAAATTGCCCCCACGTACACGACAAAGTGCGTGTGGCGTGAATATTGTGCAGGTTTGGTATTTGGTTTCTCCCTGTCGATGGATAATTCATGACCATTCCCCTGCACAAACTCAATGTCAAACAACTTGTAGAAACACTGGATTCTTTTGAAGTTCCACACAAAGAAGAACTCCCACAGACCCGTTCTCGTTCCTTTCGACGTCCCAACCTACGAGTACTCCAACAGACCGGCCGTTTGATGTGCGCTTAGCCCGCGCGGTGGACATCGGTGGAAGACGCCCACAGGAAAACAGCCACTCGGTGGGTTTTCCTCGCCTCCTCCAGGTCGCGAGCGGCCGTGAGCTCCAAGCGTTCGCCCTGCACCCATTCGGTGACCTTGCGGCCACCGTTGTGGCTCGTTGCGGCCACCGTGGTCGGACCGTGGCAGGCGATGGCCGCCAAGTAGCTAAGCTCCAAGGAGCTCCGAGTCGTTTTTGCGCCTTCGCTTTGTTGTGAGCCTTGTTCTGAGTTTCTTGTTTGCATCTCTCCAGGCTCCGCACCAGGACTGAAGACGTGGTCAGCTCTGGGACCTCGCATGGCTCAGGCGAAAAAGAGAAGCATGGCAAACAGCTCCAGCTGTTACAGTAGGGTCCTACTTCCGGGCGCTTGGATTCATTGGATTCAACAAACCCATCTGTCCGGAGATTTCAGACTCGACACACTTTCGCTTTCGATCGTTTTTCATTTCGGGGAGGTCATGATGGGATAGAACTCTAGAACCTAAGCAGCCTCACTATTCATCTGACACAACCATTCCTTTAATCGCTACTAAGAGCAAGGACGCTACTAGGGGCTCCTGGCATCGCTACTAGGAGCAAGAAGCTACTAGGAGAGCCGCCCTCACTGGGTGCCCATGCGGGCCGTGCCGTGGTGACGGAACCCAAGGAGAGCTTGCTGGCGAAGCGGGAGAAGGCAACGGAGCGCTCGGCCTGGGACCAAGGCTACGAGAAAGACCTGTGAGGGCTCAAATTTGCAGCAATTTGCTTGAGAAACTTCATTACATTAAAGTTCTTCCAATCGAAACATTTTGGTGACTTGCTCATAGGAGGCTCTACAGATCTAAGAGTTTAACTAAAGGAGTAGGAGCTTCTCCATCACTGAGCAGGCGGTACGAGGTATGATCCTGACTATGAGTCTCACTGGTGTGCAGTTGCCAGTCATCAACCATTTTAGAGTTGTTGGTGTGGCGGCATGCTTCCAGCTTTAGCCATTATCACAGTATCAACAAGTCCATCCATCATGTCATTCATGAATTGTTCCATTGGATGAAGAGCTCCATCGATTTGCCACGGATTTGTATCCCCATGGCGCAACAGAAGTACCAACGAGACCACAACTCCACGGCCCACGAATTTGCGAATCCTCATCTTGAACTGCTCCCAGCTTTGTGATGCGTGCACCATTATCACCATTCCAAGGTCAGCATGACATGGCACAAGTGAGCACGTGTGAACAGCAACAAGGTCCCCTTGACGAACATGGCGACAAAGGCAGGCAGCATGTTACTGATCCTTTGACATCCTTTGACCAAACTGGTGCATGAACAGGCATGGATATCCCCGACTGCATCCGACAAGCATCCACTGTGATCCAATAGTCAATAATGAGTGAAATTTGTGATTTGTGTGCTATGCATACATGGTAAAGGGACGTAGATTCAATTATATATATAGTTTCATCCAAGCAAATAAGCTCAACAAGTCACCCCAGCATCCCGCGCCTCTCGTGTGAAGTCGAGCTCATCCACTAAGCGTGCCCCATACTCGTCCACCAACGCAGGAAGCTGGGCCCGGGGAAAGTGTCAGCTTGGAGCGGCTAGATTCAGAATTCAATGTAATGATGTCCTTTTAATCTGAGAAACTTGATTGAAGGTGAGTGGGTCGCAAGGTTGTGCATGCAACACAACTATCTGCAAAGAGGACCGAAAAAGGTGCGTCTCCCGTCTCTAGTGAGTTGGGTCTTTTGTATGCATCCTCCATGTATATGTAGATTATTTAGGTACGGACATGATCAGGTATCAGCTGTAAACTGCAGTTGTTGAGCACGAAAGCACTGCCTCAACAAGCCCTCTTTGCTGAAATTTGACCAAAAGGCATAACAACCAAACAGTGAAGCATGAAGCTCTACAACATCTGTAGAACCACTGCGGCCACCGACTGAGCCGATTCTTCACCACTGATTCTAAGCCGGTCTCGTCCATCACCATCCGCTGCCAGGACCCCGGACATCGGTATTGAGTTGGAAGAAGCGTTGGACCCATCCGGCCAAGTGGCGGAGGATGTACCTCGGAGGTTGGAACCGAAGCGTTGGCTCCCACGTTCTATCCCTGAAAGAGATATTACGTCCTGAACCCAGGGAAGTCATGCTCTGCTCGAACGGACCTGCTCAACAATTATAGTTGCCCTGCAGTTCTGAAAAAAAGAGGCGATCAAGTCATCATATCTTGAGCTGATATTATGGGACGGTAGCAGTTTGAGCCCGCACTCTCCCAACCTACCATTTGCAGCTCCATGAAGCTGCTTGAAGAAGTTATCATGTTTCCATGTCGTGGCCAGCAAAACAAACCCATCTCCAGATGGGATTCCCCACAGGTCGACGCAAATCTGCCCTCGAATGCCAGGCCTGCCAGAAGGGGCGGGTGGGAATCATGATGCTATAGTATAGTGACTATTGCAATTGTATGCAACTAATTGTAACTACATATATTTTAGCACCTTGACAACCGTCTGCGTCACAAGGATACACATGCAATATAAATGGCGCACCAACCACCTACCAAGAATCCAACGAACATATCCTGTAGATTCCGTACAACCCCCAAGCTCCACAGAGGAACCTTGCCAAACGAAATGTCAAACTGATGACGCACCTTTCTTGGATTTGGGTGGCGCCTTCCACAGATCTGCCCCTTTTCTAACGTTCCCCCAAGGCCTCCAGCGGCCTCCGGAAGCCATTCACCGAAACGACGTCGTTCACCGAGTTCGACACAGCTCGTGGGCTTGGCCCACGAGCTGTGCTGCACCAAGACCAAACTCCAGAAGAGCCTTTCAGGTCTCGTCTCTCACTCCAGGGACCAATGCATGAACGAGCTCCATCCGGAGTAGCAATAGATGAATACCAACTTTGTCCACAACGAAACACCCATTCTCAATTGCATAGACTAGATGGATATACTAGGCTAAAGATGGCTGAAGGCCATGTCAGGACTGTCTTGGTGCCTCTGCCTCCGAAAGGCAGTATCTTGTGTACATTAGCCGGCAGGTAGAGAACCGTCAAGTTCCAGCACCGAGCGAATGGAACTTTGGGGTCTACCTTGCCACGCTGCAGTCTAAAGACCCTGGAAAATTATTGCAGTGAGGCTGAAGTTCGCATGGTAAAGCCTGACAACTGCCGCTTGGAACCAGTGTGAGCCAAACCCAGAAACCCTACAGTACGACAAAACTACTCTGCTGAATATATAGCACAGGCAAATCGGGGTCAAGGACTCCTGATCGGGCCCCCAATTTAATAATCCAATTTAGCCTCAGAGTTCAAGGAACAGAACAAACCCTGATGGGCTCCTACAGTTGCCCCTAAATTGCGTGGTTCGGCCAGTATGTCAATATGCAGAACCCCCAAAAACCGACCACAGCGACGGGTCAGCATCAGTGCGACCGAAGATAGCTCACAACTGCCACCAGTGACCCATCCTTGACCGTGACAGGCTTCACCAAAAGATCTACAGCAGCGCTGTGCTCACAAAGGACTCACGCTCAGCAGAGCTGGGTCGGGGATTGTTGATCCGGTACCTCCCAGCATGCACTCCCGACGTGTGCCATATGGCTGGGGGGGCTGGGGGGGTGGGGCACTGCGGCATGATGTGATACTGGATGGCGGATGGATGGTGGAATGATGGCGGATGAGTGGAATTGGATGGATTCGTACCAACCTAGTACTGGATCTTCGTAGTCGAGCTCCTCGCCTTAGTAGTTGATTGAAGGCATCCATCCAATCCATGGATCCTTTGGTTTTCACACTAACCCTCCCCATCAGCGGCCCCTGAGGTCACTCCAACAGCTGCTCCTCCCGGATGGCGCGCAGCCGCGGGGTGAAGGCAGCAAAGGCGTCCTGGCACAAGCGGAACATCCCCCAAGAGAGATTGAACGGTGATGTGCCTCACTTGTTCCTAGTAGCGTCCTTGCTCCTAGCAGCGATGCCAGGAGCCCCTAGTAGCTTCTTGTTACTACTAGTAAGGCACTTGTTACTACTAGTAAGGCCTTTGTCTCAAGAAATGTGGTGCAGTTGGAATCACTTTTCCTCACCCTTAGTTGGACAATACCAGTGTCGTGAAAAAGCAGACCCGTCATGACTTGTCCACGCAATGCACCCCGCCCAATAAGTTGCGCACGAGCAGCGACAACGAACTCAAAAACAGTGCGCTCATTGGCATGTACAGGTTTCTGCAAACATTTGGGGTTGCTTTCACATCAAAAACAAGCAGGCAAAAATAGTATCCTGTTTTTAGATCACAAGACCACCAAAGAAAAACACTATATAGACAGCATAGAATAATCGTTTATGATCACAATGAAATACGGTCCAGGGAGGAGTCCAACCATGTCAAACCTCCATCAAGATGCTCGCATCTGCTTGCACAGCAGAGTCGCAACGCCTTACCCATTAGGCGCCTGGTCCTACACATTCTTGAGAAGACGTTTAAAGGAAGGCACCAACCAAGTTGGTGGTTGACCCCCCAAAAAGCCACTGCACCCCATGGCCCACGAGTCCTCCAGGTTTGGACCCTCCGCCTGACGGGTGGAGACCGGTGATTGTTTGCAGCTGGATTTGCCACGCTTGAAGGAACATGAAGTAGCCCAATTGGTTCATCCTGTGACCTGGACATAAGTCCAAGCGAAATTCAATCTTCCGCACCTCCTCAGACGCGAGGCTGTCGTTGGTCTGAAACCTGCGTCCGGTGTCGAGTGGAGGTGTCTCGTGTCAGGTAGGTCAAACGTCTGTGCCTGGAACACTATATCTGAACGATGGTCCAAGGCCAAGCAGGTGGCTCTTCTTTCATTCCCCCAAAAGAAACAAATAGCACTTTGTCAAGATCAGACTTTGTTTAGGGCAGTACACCAACATATACCAACACTCCTCCTGCTTGAGCATCTTTGATTGCCAAGCCTTTAACCTATGGGGTTGAGGGCCTGGCCTCCCAAGACTGATGGCTCGTCGGGAGAAGCCACGCTTCGACTCAAGAGAAAGCATCGCCATCATCCCGTCCAGTCCCAATCATTCCCGGCGGACAAGAAACGACTTGACAATAAGAGACTAACAAGTAGCTGCATACTAGAACTCTTACTACCAGTAAAGCAGACTGTCATGATGTGGATTGATATGGCGGCATGAACATGATATTGCACGATGGCCAGTCATGCTACTAGGTTGGAGGCCATTGCTACTAGTTACATCTAGTTACTAGTTGCTTATTAGTTATATAATATAGTTGACATATGTTGTAGTAAGTTTCCCTCAACATCTAGGAACCAAATGAATACTGTAGCGCCTCTCTCCCTCACTTCATTAAATAGGTAAGTAGGGAGCGGAGGAAGAGTGGGCTAAAAATCAAAAAATATCGTTCCACACCAATCACGCGTCTGCTAGCGCCAACCTCGTCAAGCGCCGAGACATAGACAATGACTGCTGGATGTTGCCCAAGGGTCCTGTCAAAGCTGGTGAGGTATCACATGCTGTAGCTATAGTGGTTTCGGAGTGAATTGGGTGAGTAGACATATATTAATATATATATATATATTTATATTAATATATATGATGTTGCCGACTGGTACTCAAGCCATTGGAGTGCTTTTCGCAACACTCCTTTCCACTTGTGCCATCTTATGCCGCGAGATGCCCCAAGAGATTCATCGACCACATGGCTTCAAGGCCTCCAAGTTCATCAGGGCCCAAAACATGACAAGAAATATATAGATATATATATATACACTTGTATGTATCTATACAATTCTATACACTTGAATTTTCTTAAGGAACCGGAAAAACGAAACTCCTTATACAAGCAAAGCCAGGTTATATATATATATATATGAATATGATTATTAGAGTATCCGGCCGGCCGACTAACCGAGACGAGTCGGTTCAACCGGATGTGTCCGGTTGCCGGTTGTCCCGGTTGCCCGGTTGGTCGGTTGGCCGGTTGAACCGGCGGTTTCCCAGTTGGCCGGCTCAAGTGGCGGTTTCCCGGTGAGCCGGTTCAACCGGCGGTTTCCCGGTTGGCCGGCTCAACCGGCGGTTTCCCGGTGAGCCGGTTCAACCGGCGGTTTCCCGGTTGGCCAGCTCAACCGGCGGTTCAACCGGGAGACTGCCGGTTGAACTGGCCAACCGGAAACTTGCCGGTTGAACCGTTTAAAAAATGTCAACCGCCGGTTTAACCGGCCAACCGGGAAACTGCCGGTTGAATCGGCCAACCCGGTTGAACGTGCCAATCGGGAAACCTTCGGTTCGACCAGTGGTTCTCGGTGGCGGTTTCCTGGTACTGCCCGAGTCGAATACTAATCGGAGTTGGCCGGTTCAAACGACAATGTCATAGTTTCGATACGGAAACGAAAATTATATTGTGCGTGGGGTCCTCCTATAGCCTCACACACACCGATTCCAAAATTCTTCGCCCGCTTCCAAAGGGCGCTCGGAAAGAAGATGGTGAATTCGGACAACCTAGACGCTCCAATGGTGTCCATGGGGCATCGTGTCTACAAACGGCGTCGGGGTATGCCTCCTGTACAAAAGCATGCCCTTTGTAGCTGCAAGGGTGGAAAGCATGAAGCTCAAGCTACATACCATCAAGGCCATCGTGGCCATCATCTAGTATTTAGTGCGGTGCATGGGAAAGGGTTTTAGAACGACAAACGAACACAGCTCTAGCCCCCATGAACCCCCAAGAACCCTTCGCTACACATTCAGGCAAAAACCGCTTTGCGCACACACCCATTTTGAGACACTTGTTGTTTTTATTTGCAATGTTTGTGGTTTGCCATGACCATGGTGCATGGAACAGTATGCACGCGTACCACTTTGTGTGCGTGCGGCGTGTGTTTTCAAGCGTCGTGTGTGTTGGCAGTGTCGTTCCATTTGATGTGAGTGAGTTGTCTGAAGTCTGAAATGTCTTTGTAAGTAAGCCCGCTGTCAAGCAGCAGGCTGGCGACGTAAGTGTGTTGGGGTTGTTAGGTGCTTCAAGTTGGTCAGCATGATAACCAAGCCAAAGTTCCAGTTGTTCTTGTGGGGTGCGTTGCTGGAATTGTGGAGATGGTCGCCATGGTTTGGTAGGCCTGCGAAGAGCTGGAATGTTGGGACAGCTGGTTTGTGATTGGTTGGTGACAGCATCTTGTTGTAGTGAGTCGTTGTTGGGGAGAAGTGAAATGGGGTGTCTGGAGCGGCTGCGTGACCGGCTGTAAGAGTATGAGGAGTATGTTGAGGAAGGTGATCGCGAGCGGTGGTGTCGCGATGATTGGTGCCTGTGAGTGGCATCATGCTGCGTTTTTGCGCGTGTTGTATGGTGGCGGCGATGGCGTCTGCCTCGAGTGTGATGGCGGTGGCGGCGGTGATGGTGCCGGCGTTGGCCGCGG